GATTTACAACATCTTCTGATACTGAATGATCAAGGTAAAGGGTATTTTAATGATGTGTGGTTAGATTAGTAGTTCTAATGTTGACTGGCTAAGGTAGGTGTAAAAAAAGTAAGAATATATATATTTAAACCCATCTCTTATTCTTTCCCTCCCTGCACTCGTAGAGTTAACGATCAGCTGATGAGGGACAACAAGTTAAAGTTGTGTTTAAATCACGTGAAAATAACATACTTACATCCAATCAGCATCACTAAGATCGTAAAGATTTTCTCCGTATTGGTGTTGGGGGCGACGTTTCCAAACCCCACACTGGTAAGACTTGTTATGGTGAAGTACAACGCTGTGACGTATTTGGCTTTGATGCTGGGTCCTCCGTACGAATTGTTGTAGAACTGGAAGGTAGTGTTGGCCAGATGGTCCAACCAACCTATTCTGTGTTTCATAATGTTACGCTCGGCGTTTCCAATTGCATACCAAATACATGCCAACCAATGGGCAATTAGCACGAAAGTAGCCACGAGAAGCAACAACACAGCAGCTCCATACTCCGAGTAGCGGTCAATCTTTCTTGCCACTCGGACCAATCGAAGAAGCCGAGCGGTTTTCAAAAGACCAATCAGTGTGGTTGTCTAATAAAAAAGAACCAATCTAATCGTATAATACATTACTTGATAAATCCATCCGTTTAATACAGAAGCTCCGTTAAAATAATACATTGTGTTATAACCATAGAATCATATTTCCTAGCGCCATCTGTTGCGAAAAGTAACATTCATATAGCACTGGGCTGAATTTGAGTATATTTATCTCAAAGAAAAGGATACAACCACACCTAAAGATAAAGTGTACCGGTTGAGCTTTCCTAGTGTAGTAAAAAAAGTCTTACGTAAACTGATGACGTCAGTATCAAACTTGTGACACGTTACAGAAAATGGAAACATATTGTGAACTGTTTGTTCTTCTTACTCACGTATGAAATAATAAAGTTGAGAACAATTATCGTAGGTTTAACCGTCTATACCAAACCTTCAATAGTTCTAAAAAAACCTGTAATTATCTGTAAAAATAAACCTATAATTATCCGATAAGTACCAAAACTTCACGTGCCTTTTGATGCTCAATAGTTAGTGTTATCGCATTTTCACTGAATTTCTTGTTTAAGTTCGTCACGCTCTCATTGGATGGTAAAGTGTAGTGTATCAGTACAACAGATATCCGGATGACCGTTATTTTGTTCAAGACAAGGTATGGTAAGGAAGTCGTTATTCGAACCAAATCATCGAGGTACAGTTACACAGATAGATCAGTTCAAGACAAGGTATGGTAAGGAAGTCGTTATTCGAACCAAATCATCGAGGTACAGTTACACAGATAGACCAGTTCAAGACAAGGTATGGTAAGGAAGTCGTTATTCGAACCAAATCATCCAGGAACAGTTACACAGACAGACCAGTTCAAGACAAGGTATGGTAAGGAAGTCGTTATTCGAACCAAATCATCGAGGAA